TGTGTGTGTGTGTGTGTGTGTGTGTGTGTGTGTGTGTGTGTGTGTGTTTGTATGATGTCGGGATGCTGTGGCTTCACAAGGATGTTGAGGTCAGGACAAACATACAGAGTCAGCTCTGCCCTTACTTCATGGCCTGCAGTAACCCTTACTGCCATGCCTGCTCGGCGAGGTCCTTCACCCTCTGACCATCTCTTGGGTAACCACCTGGATACTTCAGCTCATTGTTGATCTCAACCATCTCAGTTTTTAGTTTCTTCCAAAATAGACCCAGGCCCTGTTTGTTTGCACTCATCACCTACCTCCTGTCTAGTTCCTGCCTTTGGGCTCTCGTAGACCCGTGGTGAGCAATAGGGCTATTCTAAACTGCAATCTCTCCGGCTTTTGTAGCTACCAGATACACAGAGGGCCCCGGGTCTCATCTTCTTAGAAACCCTGACCTTGGTCCACTGTCCCTCCTGTGGTCACAGGATTGTCAGTCTCTAGGCTTCTATTCCAGTGGCTGACATTTCTACAAGATCTGCTCTCAAATGCCCCGCCTCAGGAGGATGGACGGCACAGCATCGCATCTGCAGGCTCCCCTGAGCCTCCTACCTCAGGAAGCAAGCCCGTAGTCTCTCCCATACTGTCTTCCATTCTTTTCAGCATCTTGATGAAGTAAGGGTCTCCATAGTCAAAGCGATGGGCATAAACGAGGGATGCGATCACATTGCACGCAGCTTTGTTCAGGAGCATGTAGGGACTGACGGGGCTCCCTGGGAGGGGAGATGCAAGCCTGTCAAGACATCCTTTCTGTCTCCCTGTGCCCGTCTGCCTGCCTCAGCCATCACCCACCAGCCTGGTCGCTGAAGGCGTCACACAGGTGGCCAGCCTCCTCCGTCACCCACTGCTCCAGCGATTTCCTGCCCAGGCCGAAGTTGCGCAGGGTGGACACAAAGAATCTCCGCTGCTCTCGCCACTCGGGCCCGTAAGGTGCAAAAACCACACCTGCAGACACATCTGTGTGTGACCAAGGACACCTGCCTGTCCTCTGCTGTCATTCGCTGGAAGGAATGTCACTCATAACCATGTTCCTTCCCCCCAAAACACATCCCTATCACCCATCCACAGCATGCTCTAGTCTCCACAGTGGACCTCAGGGGCTTTTTGCTGAATTGCTTAACTGCGTGTCCTCTCCTGGCTCCTGTACCCATGTCTGGCTCTGATCCCATCTCTGCCCCCACACAGCCTTTTGCCTTTAGCTTTGGGTCCATAGCCATTTTGCTGAAAGATGGGCATCTCAGGGCGGTCAGCAGTGTCCTCTCCACAGGTCAGCAGCACTTCCCGCACGGCCTTCAGTCCATTGACCACAACCATTGGCCTTCAGGCCATCTGCAGGCTGAACACGTCCCCATAGCGGTTTCGAAGCTGAAACAGCAGGACACAGCACTTAGGAAGTAGAGGCCCCCACCGGTCCTAGAACCAGGAACACTGCACTAGCATTGGCGTAGTTTGTGTGGGAGTATGTATGTGTGTTCTCTAGCACACATGTATGTTTGTGTATGTGAACATGTATGTGTTGATGTGTGAGCACATGCGTGTTTGCATGTCTGTACCTCTGGGAGTGTTACTTGGAATTGAACCTCTGTCCTCACGTATCCTGGGCAAATACGCTCTTCCACTGAGCTCCATCCTCTGCCTGAGACCTGATGCCGTGGCCCTGGGGCATCTCCTCTTCTAAGTTCAGCAAAGGATTCCTGGA